ATCGACGTCTCTTGCCAGTACTTGAATTAGAAGCCCCTAAATTACTGTGAGTCATGGCCGAAGATGACTTAACCGCCGGGGAAGTGCCGTCGACAACGTACAATTGTTCACGCATTGTACCACCTTTTAAGCGAATAGTGTCCACTATCACATCACGGTATCGTTCGGTTGGTGGTAAATCAACTCGCTGTCCATCTTCGTCCATGATTTGCAGACGAATAGCCTGCATTCGCCTTAAAAAAGCAATCTGTTCACATAGATAGTCAACAAAATTTTGATATGACATGCACATAAACTCGTCTTCTTTAACATAGATGGGAACAATTCTGTCCTCCATGTAATAAGTAAAATGTAGCTTGAAAAGATATTCAGCCATTGTCCAAAGAGCGTTGTAATAAATCAGCAATGCTGGTCAGGATTCACACTGTTCACTCTAAAAAAACGACTCGGAAATGTCTTGCGCAAACAATAAAAGACAGAATGGCGCCTCGGAGACTCAGACATGTATACATTGTATCAAAAATGTTTAGGCTACAGTTATAATGTTTTGATTAGTAGTGATAAAATCAGTGGCAATTTCATTAGGTACTTGCTCTGATGTATCAACATTTACCACAATCTGATCGTCCAATGTTTAGTGAAAACGATTGTAAAAACTGGTGAATACCCCTACATATATCAAATCTGCTAAAATTAAACCCAGTTAATATTTCCCATCTACAGTATCATAATGGTTTGCACTCCAACTTGTCATTGAAACTATGACACAAAATACAGTCAAGAACAATGTCAAAACTTATGTCTCGTTTATTAATATACAACTTGTTGAGTCCTACCCATTAAAACATGTGTACATGTACTAAGCAAGGGAAACGTTAGTAAACAGTGGTTGTCTTTAAAACACGAAATCCCAATTCATGCATAATAATGTTTAAACATGTTTAAGAAGCCACACCCCTTGTTCTTCAAATTCTTTATAAATGTTTTCTTGTTTCATTGGTGATTTGCAGTCCAGTCACATATCATTTGTGAGAAAAATGTGTATCTCATACAAAGTTTAATTAAACATATGACAAGTTGACAACTGACTAAATAATTATGAAATTATAAACATTTTTGAAACATTGCTGTTACTGCCCTTGCAGTGCTGTATATTTGTATCATGACTCTGTGTTGGAAGTATGAAATATTCTATCATGGTTTTAATAGTTTTAAAATGACAGTCTTGTTGTACAATAGTAAACAAAAAATGAAACCAGTCGGCCATTTTCAATCATGTCAATGGCCATGTGCCCCCTTACCCTGGGGAGCAGATCCTCTGGCAACCATAAAATTCTGATTGACCAGGGATCACATGTGGCCACAGTCTTCAACTATGACCTGTCTGATAGTAATTTTAACTTAGAATTATAAAAAACCGCTGAATTGCAAGGCTCCCTCTTGCAGTTTTTTTTGTTCGAAAAAACCTTATATCATACATATATGGTTCTGGAAAAACATTGTTAAAACAAAATGGTCACCGGTTGTTCATTTTGAATCAGATCTAAAAAACAAAATTACATACATCAAGGTTATATTATGTCCAATGTATGTACCAAGTTTAAAACAAAATCTGATTCATTTCCAGAATAGCAAAAACATTTGCTTTTGATAAACTTTTAGTGCTGAAATGGCTGTCATTCGACTAGACTTAAATCAGATTTCAAAATGCATGTACATTTAAATTCATACATATGTATTCAAACAGATATGGTGTATGTATGGAGTTTACATCATGGATTAGCCATGGACGGATTTTCTCTCTCTCTGGACGTAATAAACTCAATAAGCCTTCTTTATTGAGGATGCCAGGTGGCCAAGGTTGATTAGGTTTCGTACGCGAGTGTTTGTTCGAGTCACGTACACAGTACATGTTTACTTTGATTTACGCTTATGTAAATGACAGTGATGTGTCCAGGGTTATAAGAAGTCATACAAATGCAATTGCTGGTTTGCATGCACTCATCAGAAAAGGGCTTCTAATAGAGCAAATGTGATAATTTGTTTAATTATATTGTGTTCATTATATTAACAAGTTTTTTGTTTTTTTGTTTAGTCAAATACATTGCAATAAGAATCCGGACCCATTATCAAGAGAAAAAGCTCCTGGAATAAGTATATTAAAACCATTAGTTGGTATTGATCCAAATCTAGCAGATAATTTAGAATCATTTTTTAAAACAAACTATCCCAGGGTAAGTATATTATTAGTATTTGTGGGCTTCTGTGTCATTTAGTATTTTTTTGAAGTAAGTCATCACATCTGCCATTAATTTTCAACCTTGTTCATGGCCAGTATTGTATCACATCAAGATCACTAACATAAGAGTCTGCTCTGCTCATATATACAGATGCCCTGAATTTAAGCTTTGGCAATAAATTGTACTACCGGTATAAGGATATTGTCTTAAAAAGTTTGAGGGTCACTGGTCTATTTTTTTGTGAAAAAGCTGTTCACATGGCCATTGAGATTGGGGAATGGATGGGTAGATTGAGGTAGGCAGGTGTTGGGCATGGGGATTGAAATGAGATTGGGGAATGGATGGGTAGATTGAGGTAGACAGGTGTTAGGTATGGAGATTGAAATGAGATTGGAGAATGGATGGGTAGATTGAGGTAGACAGGTGTTAGGTATGGAGATTGAAATGAGATTGGGGAATGGATGGGTGAACTGAGGTAGACAGGTGTTAGGTATGGGGATTGAAATGAGATTGGGGAATGGATGGGTGAACTGAGGTAGACAGGTGTTAGGTATGGGGATTGAAATGAGTTTGGGGAATGGATGGGTGAACTGAGGTAGACAGGTGTTAGGTATGGGGATTGAAATGAGATTGGGGAATGGATGGGTGAACTGAGGTAGACAGGTGTTGGGCATGGGGACTGAAATGAAATTGGCAATTGTGGTTCTAATGATAAATTATTCAAATTATTCCTTCCAGTATGAATTATTAATATGTGTACATGATGAGTTAGATCCTGCAGTTAGCGTGGTTAGACCATTGATGGAAAAATATCCGAATGTAGATTGCCAGTTACTAATTGGTAAGTACCATCCTTATGTAAGTATGAACACTGTATTGTCTCACTTTATTGCAAACATATTCATAGTAGTATAAATGTCACCAGGAGTTCCATAGTAGTATCAATGTCTCCAGGAGTTCCATAGTTGGATCAATGTCACCAGGAGTTCCATAGTAGTATCAATGTCACCAGGAGTTCCATAGTAGTATCAATGTCACCAGGAGTTCCATAGTAGTATCAATGTCACCAAGAGTTCCATAGTAGTATCAATGTCACCAGGAGTTCCATAGTAGTATCAATGTCACCAGGAGTTCCATAGTTGGATCAATGTCACCAGGAGTTCCATAGTCTATCAATGTCACCAGGAGTTCCATAGTCTATCAATGTCTCCAGGAGTTTCATGGTAGATCAATGTCTCCAGGAGTTCCATGGTAGATCAATGTCACCAGAAGTTCCATAGTAGTATCAATGTCACCAGGAGTTCCATATTTGGATCAATGTCACCAGGAGTTCCATAGTAGTATCAATGTCACCAGGAGTTCCATAGTAGTATCAATGTCACCAGGAGTTCCATGGTAGATCAATGTCACCAGGAGTTCCATGGTAGATCAATGTCACCAGGAGTTCCATAGTAGTATCAATGTCACCAGGAGTTCCATAGTCTATCAATGTCATCAGGAGTTCCATTGTCTATCAATGTCACCAGGAGTTCCATTGTCTATCAATGTCACCAGGAGTTCCATAGTCTATCAATCTCACCAGGAGTTCCATAGTCTATCAATCTCACCAGGAGTTCCATAGTCTATCAGTGTCACCAGGAGTTCCATAGTAGTATCAATGTCACCAGGAGTTCCATAGTAGTATCAATGTCTCCAGGAGTTCCATAGTAGTATCAATGTCACCAGGAATTCCATAGAAAAATACCATTGAAAGAATTAAGTCAATTGTCTATCATTATTGGCATATTGGAATCTTATTTGTCCATATTGTATTTGCATATTACTGTGTATTTATAAATAAAGCCAACATTAAAAAGTTCATTCATCACGAAATCACTTTATAAACATGAGTTCTATTATCATTATTTAGCTGTACTATCATAATAGATATCAATTAATTCACAGTAGTACAAATTTGTGTTCAAGTGCATGAATTAAATGCATAGAAATGATAATTATTCTTTTCTTAGCAAATTAAAAGAATATTTTTAGACTAATTGAAAATAAGTAATATTTTTCTGTTGATTAAATATGTTTTATTGGGGGGGGGGGGAGGATTAAAATTGATAAAAAAAAAAACCTGTGAATTGATTGAGTTTTTATGTTTCCAACAATACATATTACCAGTGCCGACCAAGTATTGAATTTAAAAACTTAGTGACTCACAACCTGTCAACCAACAAAATACCCAGTGGTTCCAAGCAAAATCAACAGCGTCATATTCTAACTGCAAAAAGTGTGGAAGTGAAAGATTTAGTTATTCTCTTGTTGAAAATGTCATGAACACAGACAATGGAATTTTGATCACATTCCAAATTGAATTTGACTTTTCTGTTTTATTTTATGCACAAAAAACAGCAACACATCATTAGTGTTGAAATGAGGCACCTAGCAAGTTTCTGTGATACAATCTTTACGATTGGCTTTTCAGAAAATGACACATTTAATAGTCAAATACACCTTCACTATCATTGGTCAATTTGTGAAATTTACCTTGTATAATGAAATCAAACTACCGGGTATTATTAGGTTGATATGATCTATACATTTATATCTCTGTATCGCGTAACATCATACATTGTCTTTGTTTGTATGCCATTATGTTAAAAAATTAATACTTGGCTGGTGTTGGTAATATGTAGTTCCACACAAAGCATTTCGTCAGTCATGTTATGTAATCTGTTTTTTATAGTCCTCTTACAGGGAGTATGGTTAAAAAACTCCAAAATTTCGACCATTTCTAAATAATTATTTTTGAAAAACGATCGGGTTGTTAGAATACAAAATAACAATAAATTTTCGGCCAGTCAAATTTTTTAGAGTGGAAATACAACAAATATAAAAGTTGGGTTATAAACAGTTGCAGAAATAGAATAGTTATAGAAAGTCATGTCTTTAAACAAATTTGAGTAAAAATAAGTGAGCAACTACTGGTGAGGTAAAAATTTTGGAGGTCAACAAACCACCCAAATTTCCAGAGTAGGCGAAATTTTAGAGTTTTTACGGTATATATATAACAAAACATTTCCTGAATTTACTGAGATTTTGTGTTATGCGTGAACTCAAACATCAAAACAGGACAAACAAAAGTCATAGCGTTGTCATGATGTCAAAACATTGCATGAGATTCAACAAACGTGGAAGACATTTGATGATGAGGGTATCTGAGAGTCATTTTTCCATCTGAAAGATTGTTGTTTTGACGTTGAACTATAAAAAAAAAATAATGTTCAAAATCAAATCAAATCAGATGCAGATGTTTGTTCCATGCCTTTAACGCATAACGTAATATCCCATGGAAGTACTGTAAAATGTCCATTGCCACCATGACATTTTTTTCAATATAAGTATTCATAATCTGTCTAATAAGCGCTTTGCCTTCATTGTCAACTTTGACACTCATTACGCTTGTTTTCTTGCAATAAACACAATGGCAATTCTGCTCATTTGAATCAAAATGGACATAACAATTCAAAATAGGTATAATTGCTATAAATTGCTGGTAGTTCTCAGAATCGTATTTATGTCGTGCGTCATAGCTAGTGTTCATCACTCTAGAAAAGGTCACATTATACTTAAACTGGGGGAATAGTGAATTTTTTTTTTGTCCACTGGTATGAAATTCTGTGAAATTACATGTATATACCAGGCATTCGGGTTTGGCGACTTTTTAAATTCACCTGTCCTGCCAAAAATTGCCAGTTCTGCTTTCCAGGATAATTAGCTCCCACTTTTGATACAAGTGTCATTGAAAAAGAGATATTTATCCAATAATTTATTTTCTTAACTGCCTTATAAAAAACATATTCGGTTTTGTACTCAGTGTAACTTTCAACTGGGCCTATTATTCTGGTTCACAGAATTAAGAATTCCGTTCTTAGCCAATTTACAATTAGATTGAAGATGGACAGTGCGTTTACCGGTATTCACATTATGTTACATTTTCCATTTTGTTTAATTAAAGTATATTGATCATGCTCAAAGTTAGCTTCATTTTCGCCTATATACAATGTACATGTACCATCTTCATTTTTTTTTATTAATTGAGTCTCCAAATGAAAAATAGAATATCTGCTAATATCATATCATTTTTCATACAAACCATTGGAATGTTTGTATTTTCAAAACATTTTCGGAATTTTCATTTATTTTAGGAAGTTGGTATTTAGAACAGTTACCTGAGTATAGGACAGGTAAGTTTGAATCTGCCACAAGATACTGATCATAGGCAGGTGATAATTTTGAACTCTGAAATACATAATTACGAGTTTTATAATAAAAATATTATTGAAAATAAAGCAAGTTTGCAATCACATAAAACTAGTAACAAGATTGCTTGTCTGTAAAACAGAGACTACACTGTGAAATGGACACTGTGCTGCCAATGAAATGGAGGTTATGTGCTGTAAAGCAGACACTACACTGTGAAATGGACACTGTGTGCTGCGAAATGGACATTATGTGCTGTAAAACAGACACAATACTGTGAAATGGATGCTATAATGTTAACAAACCAATCGTGATTCTACCCAGAGGTGACTCTGTAGCATGTACCAAATCAGAGTTGATATAGCATTGGATGATAGGTGATAAACGAAGTTTGGCGCTGTGTTGCTGTCCTCGAAAAATCGCAGCTGCATATTTTATACAACTTTTCCATAGTTCATACCCTGGGATTATGTTTGATATGTGACCCATTACAGCAAAAAAAGAGGTGACACTTAAATACACATTTGCTAATTAGAATCTGCCGTGGAGGTGAGATAATGCCCAAATAAACAAACCTTGGCTGGCAAAGATGAGACGATATATGTGTAAAATGGATCAATATTCTGTAAAATGAATACCGTATGCTGTAAAACAGATAATATACTGTGAAATGGACGGTATATGCTGTGAAATGGAAAGATTTGCTTTGAAATGGATGCTATAAGCTGTGAAATGGACACTACATGTATATAAAACAGATACTGTTGTGTGAAAATATGCACTATATGATGTGAAGTGAAATGAATGAGAAATGATGTGAAGTCAATTACAAATTACAAACCTCTTATTCTTTTATTCAGCTGCTGTGTTATGTATATCTGCGAAACTCGCATTAAAATGCAAACATTGTATTCAAAATTGCAGCTAGCCTTCTGCATATTTGATTATCATAATGTTGGTACAATTTCAAAACCATTCACATTACAATGTTACTCTGTTGTGTTGGCTGGAAAGCATCAAGCCATTTTAGTGCGTTCCTGTTTTGATGCATACACACACACACCCCCCTCCCTTGGGGCTGTATTGGTTATTATTATACACACATAAAAGTACTAAAACAGGTTTACAACATTTCTACAAATTTCTTTTAATGAAAATCTATCCCAACAAATATTAACTTTTAGTCTTTAGCTCCGCTGTCGACTTTGTCGAGCAGGCTTATATGAGTGATTGCCCGTCACCTGTGTCAACTTTTTACTTTTCAACTTCTTCTTGAAAACTACAATTCTTATTTCTTTGATACTTGGTGTATTTGTACCTTGGGCAGACCTGTCTTAGATTTGTTCATTTCATGATGAGATCTTTAAATCGCTAATTTTTGTCATTTTTGTTAAAAATTTGAAATTCGCAAGTCTGATTGCTTTGATATTATACACATAGGTACTACAGGTGGACTTCTCTCAGATTTCTTCATTTTGTGATGATATCTTTAATTGAAATGTACATTTCTAACAGCGGAGCTATCTCAACCGAGAGGCTGCTTATTTTTATTTTGTATAAGTTTGTGGTTTTGGATTTTAGTGTGTTAATGATAGGTGTGAATAACATTATTAAATTTACAGGGTCTGAAAAACAACACTATTTTTACAGGTTTGTTCATCAACCTAGGATGCCAGACAGGGGGATATACCGTGATAAATGCCATATGTTGCAAAGATAGGACCGTAATCTATTTTCATATACATGTATATTATATTTCAGGTGGTAAGAAAGTTGGTATAAATCCAAAAGTTAATAATATGATGCCTGGCTACCTTGTCTCCAAGTACGACCTAATAATGGTCAGTGATGCTGGATGTCAAATTACAGATCACTCTCTACCAGACTTAGTTCATCACATGAAAGATGATGTTGGGTTGGTGCATCAAATGCCATACACTGTACATCGGAAGGGATTTGCTAGTACAGTAGAAATGGTAAGTCTGAATCAATAGTGATTACCTGGGTTGATTTTTTCCAGTTTGTCCATCTTGAGAGTACAATATTAAAAAAGCATTCTTGACACTTTCATAGAATTACATATTTTTTTTTTTTATGGGAATGACAACTATAAATTTTAATATTATATGGGGGAAGTATCAGATGATGTCATTTGAATGAAAATATTGATTCAGAATGGGAATAAGTGCTCAATCAAGTGATATGAATTTGTACATCTGAATATTGTGGAAATGAGATGCAATAAAAACCCGCTATTTAGAGTTATTTTCAAATGGTTGTTTTTTTAATCTTGTCTGTGACCATTTGTAATGAGCCCTTGACAATTGAAGATAAAATAATGGTGTTGTTAACTGTCACTGTTATTAAATATACACCTATGTGTTCCAGTTAATACAAATACTATTATCACACAGTTTCATATCAAATTGTAAACAAATGACGTTGCCTATACAGAGTTCAATTGGGGTGAGGGGGTGAAAGAAGTTTAGTATCAAACACCTTACATCAGTGTCTTGTAAACCAGTATGAATTTTCCATGATGCAACTAGTCATTGACTCAATAGAAAATCATACATTGAAAAAGTTACCTTAAAAAAATATCTTGCATTCAACAAAATAAGTTTGAAAATGGCAGTATCAGATGCCACGTTGTTGTCCTTACAAAATCAGTTCTGCTAGGGGGTACACTTCTCCATACTGTGTTCAAACTAATGAAATAGTTTGATTACTTGTAGGTTTATTTTGGTGGTGCACATGCCAGGATGTATTTATCAGCTAATGCCCTTGGTATTAACTGTGTAACTGGTATGTCCAGTATGATGAGGAAGTCAATTTTAGAAGATGCTGGTGGACTTGAAGAATTTGGCCAATACATAGCAGAAGATTACTTCATGGGTAAAGCTTGCACTGACAGGTAACTTGTATTCACTTGCTTCCTAATTAAGCATCAGTCCCATTAGGGTATTTGCACTATTAGAAGCAGAAGCGCACATAGATTTATAGCGAGAGGGTCGTCACCTGTGCACGCGCGGGAATTGAGTCCCAAGCGACGATACCAACACACGCTAAAGACGCAAAGGCTCATGGGTAGACGCTTGTTTGTAAATAATGACACGCTATGGCCATCTGACGTATGCGCAGGTGACGACTCCCCGCTTTAAAAAAATGCATTTATTTAAAAATTATATTACAGTGCATCATTCAAGTATAACTTAGTTTGACTATAAACACACTTCTTTGATTTACTTAAATATATGTTATACTAATTGTGCAAATATGGTAATCTAAGTAATGTAATCTATGAAAAAAGCTACGGTAAAATCTGTATTAAATGCATCTACACATATGAGAAATGGTGAATTTTTGGGTCTCAATTATTCAAAAAAAATGAATGCGGCTTCTATTAGGAATTTGGCTTCTAATACAGATTTTACTGTACTCAGCTTCAGTTTTTGCTGAATAGGGTCACTAAATTGAATAGGAGATTACTTTAGATGCGTCTATAAATTTATTATCAAAATACGACCTAAATTACACAACCACCATCAGTATGTGCCATAAAGGCACTTTTATTACATGAAAATAAATCAATTGGAATACATTCCATTATTAGATTAAGTACATTTATCATCTTGAAAACAGAAATAATGAAATGAATAATGTCCTAACTTACTGGAGTACACTTGTGTATTATCAACATTTTACTATGCACTGAATGGTTACCGTCCAATTTTAAAAAAGTTTTCATACAGATTATTTGCTTTACAACTAATATTATTCGCATACAATGTATAACATGATTTGATGTTGCATTGATACATCTGAGCTTTGCAAGCACTGGTGTCCAATAGTATTAAAAGCCAGCTAAATTCATTCTCTCATTCATATTTATTTCAGGGGTTTTAAAGTAGTAGTATCGTCATTGTGGGCATTACAAAATTCTGGAACATATTCTTTATCTCAGTTCAAACGTAGAATGGCCAGGTAGCTATCACCTTTTTTTTATTTTGTCTACATGCATGAAGGGGTTTTATGTGTAAGGGCAATAAAATGTCCTTAGTTAATACATCTCGGTACTTGTGAAATTGGTAATTGTTGCTGAGTGCTGAGCCTTGAGGCTATACCTTGTGTCCATATTCAAATGATTTGCATAGGCCCATAAAAACAGTTATGTTTCTGGTCATAGCTGTTGTCTGATTCACATCACCGTTCCTACGAACCCATGACTGATTGTTTCAAAAAGCTGTATTTTACCTCAGTTAAATTGAATGGTTTGATTGGGCGCGGGTGTGCAATGACTCAAATCCATTTCAAATTGAAATCAATAGATTTTGTCGTCATTGTTTAACTGAAAAAAACACCCAACTTCTACTTCTAAGGAAAACACAACACAACATAACACATGACATTGTGTTCTATTTACCATGGCAACACATCAAAGCATGCACCAATGTGTTTGCTTTCATCAACAGTGAATACAGATTCATAATTGGAATTCTGCCAAGGTACATGTACAATGGTTAGGCGCAGTTAGGTGCATGCCATTTTGTTGTTTTTTCATCACAATTTTATAAAAAACAGTACAATTTTCAATTAAAAATTGTGAAAATGCATAAATTTAGAAACCTAATGGACCAGAAAATTATTACATAATATAAGAATGTTTAATGCTTGTTAGATATTATTCCAGTAAAATTTTTTAAGCTTGCATTGAACTATGATGATTATTAATTACTATATGTAGTTTGTACACAGTTCCATAGCATGGACTAAAAGGTAAAAAAATGTAAAGTCCAAGCTGAATCTGTTTCAAAAACTTATTTCTTACCCTTGCTTGATAAAGTGTGTATGAAATGCTAGCGACATGCATGCATGTTTTCATCAGAAGAATTTGTTTTGTCCAGAAAGTGATGCAGACTACTGATTCACCTAGCTATAATGCAATAATATGCAATTTAAGCAAGTGGTAGAGATTGGGCCGCAAAAGCTGTATCCAGTCCATAAAGAATATTCAAATCATTCAATAGCCTAACATAAAAAGCAGTTATGTGGTTTTTGTTGTGATTTAGTTTTCAGCATTTTTTAGTTATTATTAAAGTTTGAATCACACACAGGATACTACTGTAAATGTATTAATTATTCACTGGGTTTTTAATTTCGCTATTTTCACTGATAAGTCAAATCTGCTAAATTAAATCTATGTGAACATGTAAATTAATAAATATAACTATACTGGCTAAAACTAAAACCCAGTGTTGTTTTTTTATATAGACATTAGTTCCTTTTTAAAATCATCGGACGACTATTTTACTCATCGGAGCATTTGCATCGGAGCAACTTTCAAACATTATGTACTTGCCAGGTTGTGTTTAGTGCACACTCAAAGTAGAATTTAAACACCAATGCATGACAGCAATTATTGCATTAAAATCAAATAATAACTTTTGAGCAGTATAACCCAGAAACATCATTTCAGATTTGTTTTGACCCTAATGCCCGAGTACATACCTCTACATATAAGTACATGCACTACTAATAGATCATATGGAGGATAATAAGCAGATATTATTATACTACCACATTGGTATACCACATCATTTTTGCGAAACATGTAACAATTTTTTTCTTATATTTTTTTTTCATTTTTTTTTCTCAGATGGTGCAAACTTCGTCTTTCAATGCTGCCATTGCTGATTGTCTTAGACCCATTGACTGAGTGTTTAGCTTTGGGTTTATTTACAGCTTGGGGTCTTTATCATCTTCTTCATCTCCATCCAGTAGTCTTCTTTCTATGTCATTTATTAGGTTGGTTTTTAATGGATTACATTCAATTATCAGGAGTACATGTAAGTAACATTTTGTATGTGGCTACCAATTTGTAATTCAAATCCTGTGTTTATGCTTGAAACATCAAATTGTTGATATTCAAATCCTGTGTTTAAGCTTGAGACATCAAATTGTTGACGTTCAAATCCAATGTTTAAGCTTGAACATTAAATTGTTGACATTCAAATCCTGTGTTTATGCTTGAAACATCAAATTGTTGATATTCAAATCCTGTGTTTATGCTTGAAACATCAAATTGTTGACATTCAAATTCAGTGTTTGAGCTTGAAACATCAAATTGATGACATTCAAATCCTGTGTTTATGCTTGAAACATCAAATTTGGTGACATTAAAATCCAGTGTATATGCTTGAAACATCAAATTGTTGATATTCAAATCCTGTATTTATGCTTGAAACATCAAATTGTTGACATTCAAATCCTGTGTTTATGCTTGAAACATCAAATTGTTGATATTCAAATCTGTGTTTAAGCTTGAACATTAAATTGTTGACTTTCAAATCCTGTGTTTATGCTTGAAACATCAAATTGTTGATATTCAAATCCTGTGTCTAAGCTTGAAACATCAAATTGTTGACATTCAAATCCTGTGTTTATGCTTGAAACATCAAATTGTTGACATTCAAATCCTGTGTTTATGCTTGAAACATCAAATTGTTGACATTCAAATTCAGTGTTTGAGCTTGAAACATCAAATTGATGACATTCAAATCCTGTGTTTATGCTTGAAACATCAAATTTGGTGACATTAAAATCCAGTGTATATGCTTGAAACATCAAATTGTTGATATTCAAATCCTGTGTTTATGCTTGAAACATCAAATTGTTGACATTCAAATCCTGTGTTTATGCTTGAAACATCAAATTGTTGACATTCAAATCCTGTGTTTAAGCTTGAAACATCAAATTGATGACATTCAAATCCTGTGTTTAAGCTTGAAACATCAAATTGTTGATTCAAATCCTGTGTTTAAGCTGGAAACCTCAAATTGTTGACATTCAAATTCAGTGTATATGCTTGAAACATCAAATTGTTGACATTCAAATTCAGTGTTTAAGCTTGGAACATCAAATTGTTGACATTCAAATCCTATGTTTATGCTTGAAACATCAAATTTGGTGACATTCAAATTCAGTGTTTAAACTTGAAACATCAAATTGATGACATTCAAATTCAGTGTATATGCTTGAAACATCAAATTGTTGACATTCAAATTCAGTGTTTAAGCTTGAAACATCAAATTGTTGACATTCAAATTCAGTGTATATGCTTGAAACAT